TGACAGAGTAACAGGAGCACTATGACAGAGTAACAGGAGGACTATGAGAGTAACAGGAGGAATATGACAGAGTAACAGGAGGACTATGAGAGTAACAGGAGCACTATGACAGAGTAACAGGAGGATGATGATGGTGTAAAAGGAGTTCTATGTCAGACTGATGGTCATGCAACTTTATACATAAAGAACAGCAGAATATGTGGCGTTCCTCACAGAAGTGACATATGAGCAGACACTTGAAGATAGTACAGTGTTTGGTTCATGAAATTTTTGATGGAGATTATTTCCTGTTCAGAAATCCTGGCACCACATCTAGAAAGTTGAGCCAGTTGAGCAGAGACCAACATTGCTATGCAGAGCTGGAACCTTTGTCCCCAAAAGCTGATATTGACGGTTGAGGTCTGCACAAACGCTGTGGAACGTTGTGTATCCAGCATAAACTTAAAAGTGTATTCTAGAAAGAAGAGAAAGTCACTTAAACACTTTGAGAATGTAGACAGCATCTGGTTTATACTGCATGCATTTTATGTGATAGGGCATTAAGTTGTGTGGTTGCCCTCCCCCAAGCATTGAAATTACTTCTGATTCTCTTTAGACAGCCAGCTGCCATGTGGCCACTTGGAGTTCACAAAACTTTAATCCTTGCTTCTCAAACTCTGTGTTTGAGTGTCAGCCTGAACTTACTAACAGCAAAGGGGAAATTTTCCTGTGTAGTTGAAGTACCTTGCCCCTCTGTGCTTGTGTGACAGCCCTGGCTCTGTCCTCCTTCCTTCTTTCCATTCCTTGTCTATAGGAATCCTAGGACTGGGGACCCGGGGCTCTTCTGTTACCTCTCCCTCCATTCTTTCCGAAGACATCATTGGACATCATCCCGGAGTACCCTGTTCCCTCCAATTATATAATGCAGCTAGCTCTCTCAGAGAGATGTGGAAGAAAAAGTGGAGGACAATTTCATCTCCTACAACAGTCAGACAACTTTCTTAGTCACTCAGCTTTATTGGGGGGTTTCATATTCTGCCTGAGGCAGTTTTGCATGAGATTTTGCTTTCGTCCTAGTCAAGGGTTGAGGATGGAAAACTTTACTTCTTGTTCTTCTGCTGTGGCTATCCATATGATTTTGTGCAAACCAGAGAAATGGAGAGGCACACAACACAGAGGAACCAAAGCAATCCCAGAGGCAGGAACTCAGCAGTCAGGCCCCTGGTGATGAGTTTGTGTTCAGCTCCCCCTGTGGTTTCCACTACTGTGCCACCCAGAGCACAGTAGTACACAGCCGAGTCTGACTCCTGGACCGAGGCTTTCTGCAAGTGGAAGGAGCTGGATCCTTTATCATATGTGGCTTCAAAGCCTCTGCTACTTTTCTTCTCGTTGTCCTTCGAGGCTCTGAAGAGAAGCTGTGGACCTTCTCCAGGATACTGCACATACCAGAACAGGGGTGGATACCCTGAGGCTGAATATTTGCAGTGTATAGTAAGAAAGTCCTCTTCCGAGAGGGTCACTTGACCTTCCGTCTGTGTCACTGAGTCTCCATGGGTCCTTGCTGGAGGAAACAATAAAAATAAAACAGATATGTATGTCACCTTAAAGACAAAACTCTTATTTGAATTTAGGGCTCAAGGCTTTTCTTACATAAAAGAGTACAAAGTTCAAATCACTTTACTTACTGAGTAGGAGGAGTATCGCAGTAACGAAGACTGGGGAAGAGTCCATCTTTAGTGGCATCCAGACGATGTTCTTGATTCTTAGCATGTTGAAAACAGAAACAATGAATCTAAACTTAGATTCACACAGGAAATACTATAGTGTTAGGATGCTGCGCCACCTGGTGACCAGAGTAACAGCTAAATGTGGCAATATTCACTGAAAGACATGGAAATAATGAACTCTTGGATTGGGTTGAGGATCACTGCTACTTCATAGGTCATATTTTTTGCATTTTAAGTGAATGTCAACTTTAAGGTATTTTTAATTAAAGGCTTTTTTTTGTGGGGAGGGAGTCACACTGCACAAACAATACATAAACATTTCAGAATTCCAAGACAAGTGAAGAAAAACAAGTGATTGAATTCTATGGAGTGATCTGAACTTTTGAAAATGGTTTCCCTTTACATTTAAAAGATTTCTGGCTAACTTAAATTTACTTGCTCTCTGAGCTAAGTCTACAAACGGACTTTCTATTTTTACTGACTCTGGGATTCTCTCAGTGTTTAGGTTAAGCTCCACATCTTTAAAACCTAAATTTCATTCCCTGTTTCTAATAAGAAAATACTGGGTTTAAATGTAACCATGATACATGTGCTTCCAGTTTCTTGTTATCATATTTATAGTTGTTCTCTTATAATTGTTTAGATTCCATTAGTGGTAATTTTTTTGTCTTTATGGATCATTTTATATCATAAGGTAATAACTAAGGTACTAATATGTGACCAGTTTATGCTTCTTTTTCATTTTTTTTCTCTAGGAAAAAACAGCATCATGAGATATATCAGTATCCCATGAAAATTACAACCTCCCTGGTTTAACAGAGAAATACATTTTAAGAAGTGAGCCATGTTTCTCTTTCATGGTGTTATAAGATGTGGGGAAGATGAACTTCATTCTCTGTGACAGGGTCACACAGAACCTTGTATGGAATAGGAAACACAAGTTGCACCTTGGACTGCCACCCTAATCTTTACAGATCAAATGTTATTTTATTCCTTAATTACTATTTTTGAGATTATTATTTAATCACAATATTTCTTCCTTTCCTTTTCTACCCCCAAACTTTCCCATGTACCCCATTTCCACTCTCCATCAAACTTATGACCTCTTTTTTGCTAATTGTTATTGCATGTGTATATGTGTTTACATATATATTCCTAAGTACAAACTATTTGGTTCATGTAATTTTAAATGTATGCATGTTTTTAGGGATGACCATTAGATGCTGAAAAACAAATTGGTGTGTTCTTCTCTGGGTAAGGCCACCTCTATTGTTCCCAGGTTTCCTCAGTTGCCTATGCCTCTATTGCAGGGATCAATCATCATAGGCTACTGTCTGTCCACTTTGGCACATTCATTGATATAACAATGTATCAGCTCACATTTCGATGGTCATGTTGATGAGACTTTATCTGTGTAAATTATGACATCAGTAAAAAACACAATCTTTAGGCAAACTCCTAAATCCTGTAACTTTTACAATCATTCTTCCTTCTCTTCTGCAATGTTCCCTGAGGCTAAAGTACAGGAGTGTTTTGTAGAGATATCCATTGGGACTGAGATCCACGATTCTGCAGTTTGATTGGTCTTGGTATCCTTCAATAAGAAAGTGCATATGGTGTTAGCCTTTCCGGATCTGGGTATCACTCAATATGATCTTTTATAGTTCCATCTGTTTAATTGCAATGTGCCTGATTTCATTTTTATAGCTGAAGAGTATCCCATAGTTTATCTGTACCACATGTTCATCAACCATCAACCAGTTGTTCAACATTTAGATTGTTTTTACTTCCTACCTATTGTGAACAAAACAACAATAAGCAAGTATTTGTGGAGCAGGATGCTCAGTCCTCTGGGCATATGCTGAGGCTGGGTTACATGAGATATTAATTTTTAGCTTTTTGATAACTATCCAAACTGATTTCAATGGGGCTGCACCAGTTTGCATGCTCATTCACAGTGAAAGGGTCTTGCATTTACCCTGCATCCTCTCCAGAATTTGCTGTCAGTTGTTCCTTGAATATTTGCCTTTCTGATGGGGTAAGATGAAATCCCAAGTTGTTTTCATTTGTATTTCTCTACTATGTAGGGATGATTAACATTTTTAGAAATGCTTTTGGTTCAGAAATCCCTGTTTATTTGTTATTAATTATCAATGGCATTATGCTTATAGGGAATACAGTCATAGAAAATATTTGTAGATACAACAACATAAAAATCAGGAGAAACGAGACAGTCAGCTGCTATAAAGTTACAATTTCCAAGATAGTTCAAGGTGAAGTCATAAATCATACCCATTTCTTGCTAATGCTCAGACTTAATTAGACATCTTTGCCATTTTGATTAATCGTACAATCTCCTATTCATACTCATTTGCCACCAGCATTTCTAGAAATGTCTGCTATATTACTAATTTTTGGTGGGTATAATGGATCAGTGCAATCACCTCCCCCTTTTTTTATTGAATTTTATATGTTTTTTTGTTTGTTCTTGTTTCTTTTTGAACTCTCTATTCAGGTCCCTAGTCTACTTTTGGAATGTACTTTTTTTTTTTTACTTTTTATTTTTCGATGTTAGTATATTCTGAATATTAATACTACGAGATGTATATCTGGCAAAGATTCTTTTCCATTTTGTGGGGTGTTTTTTCACATTGTTGATTATTTTTTTAACGGGCAGATATTTAGTTCAATAAACTACCACTTTTCAATTTTTGACCTTAATTCTTGGACAAATGGAATCCTATCAAGAAGTCATTTCCCCTACATCTTGTAAGATATTGACTATATTTCCTTCTAGTAGCTTTAATGTTTTGGGCTTTACATTTAGACCTTTGATCTATTTGGAGCTAGTTTTTGTATAGGTGATAAATACAGCTCTATTTTCATACTTCTGTATGTGAATATCATGTTTTATCAGCACCAATCATTGAAGATGTCTTCTTTCTCTCTCCATTAAAAGCTTTTGTCATATTTGTTTAGTATTAAGTGATTGAAGTTACATGTGCTCATGTAGGCCTTCAATTTTGTTTCATGAGTCTTCATACCTGTTTTATGACATTATCATATCACTTATAATATTGTACCTTTGTAATTTATCTTAAGATAAGAAATTGTAATACCCACTATCATTTTTTTTTAGTCAGGGTTGCTTTGACTATCCAGTTCTTTGGTGATTAGACATGAATTTGAGAATAGTGGTTTTCCCTTTCTGTGTAGAATGACTTGGGGATATTGATTAGGATTTCACTGAATCTCTAGATATCCTTTGGTATACTAGTCACTATTGTTATATTAATTCCACCAATCCCTGAGCATGAGATGTCATTCCACTTTCTAATGATTTTCTCTATTTCCTTTTCAGAGGTTTAGTCTCTTCTGTAGAGTTCCTTCATTTTCTTGGTTAGATTTATTTACAGGTATATATTTTTTGATGTTATTGTGAATGGGCATGTGCCCAGGATCTTCTCTGCATGTTTGTTAGTGGATTTTTACAAGATGATTTTGGATGGTGCCATATTGCTGTGCTTTTTTAATATATCTAGAAGTTTTTTTGGTAGAATTTGGGGATCTGTAATATATAGTATCCTGTCATTGTCGAAATTATGAATAGTTTGACTTCTTTCTGTATTTTTATCCCATTAGTCTCATTCTCTTGACTTTTCACTTCAACTAGTACTTCAAGCAAAATAATTGAAAGGAATAGGGCTAGTGGATATCCCTCTCTCATTCCTAACATCAAAGGAAATGATTCAAGCTTTTCTTATTTTTCTTATTTACTATTTTGTTGGCTATGGGTTTCTTGTATATAGTTTTTTTTTACTTATTTATTTATTTATAAAAATTTCCACATTCTCACCTCTGCCCAATACCCTCCCATTCCCCCACTCCCTCTCCTCCTCTCTCTCCAGTCCTAAGAACAGTCAGGGTTTCCTGCCCTGTGGAAAGTTCAAGGTCCTCAGCCCTCCCTCCAGGTCTAGGAACGTGAGAATCCATACAAACTAGGATCCCAAAAAGCCAGCAAGCCAGCACATGCAGAGGAAACAAGACCCAGTGCCATTGTCAATGTCTTCTCAGTCAGCGCCCATGTCAGCCACATTCAGAGAACCCGGTTTGATCACATGCTCGTTCAGTCCCAGTCCAACTGGCCTTGGTGAGCTCTCAATAGATCAGTCCCCATGTATCAGTGAGTGAACACACTCCTCGAGGTCCTGACATCCTTTTTCATAATCTCCCTCCTTCTGCTCCTCATTTGGACCTTGGGGCTCAGTCCAGTGCTCCAATGTGGGTCTCCGTCCCTATCTCTGTCCATCGTCAGATCAGGGTTCCCTCTGATCCTGCCTTCCTTGGTCATGTTCTCCCTCCATCTGCTTCTCATTTGGACCTAGGGAGTTAAGTCCAGTGTTCCAATGTGTGTCTCTGTCTCTATCTCCATCCATCGCCAGATGAAGGTTCTATGGTGATATGCAAAATATTCATCAGTATGGTTATAGGCCAAGGCCAGTTCAGGCACCCTCTCCTCTGCTGCCCAGGGAACAATCTGTGGACCTCACCTTGGGCCTGGGAACCCCTCCAGAATCAAGTGTCATGCAAACCCTAAAATGGCTCCCTTAGTTGAGATATATAACTCCCTGCTCCCATAATCATCCTTCCTCCCTCCCCCCATCCCATTCCCCAAAGCAATCCCCAATACTCCCCCTCTCTGTTCTCTCTAGCCCTCTCCCCTTACTTCCACCCCTCCAACCCCTGTGCACCCAAGTTTCCCTGGCACTCTTGTCTACTTCTAATATCCAGGAGGACAACTATATGATTTTCTTTAGGTTTACCTTCTTATATAGCTTCCCTAGGATCACTAATTATAGGCTCAAAGACCTTTAATTATGGTTAGAATCCACTTATGAGTGAGTGCATACCATATTCCTCTTTTGGGGTCTGGCTTACCTCACTCAGTAAAGCGTTTTCAATTTCCATCCATTTGCATGCAAAATTCAAGATGTCATTGTTTTTTTACCGCTGAGTAAAACTCTAATATGCATATGCTC